CAAAATATTAAGAAAATATATAAATGTGAATCTGTATAGGAACTGCCTTCTGCACCTACTTGCATATCTATGTTTAGTTGATTTTCTGAAGTCCTTCATAACAAGTGTGGAGGCTCACAATATTCACAAAGAAAATTTTTAAGATGAGGATCAAAGAGTTTTGGGGCCCTGAGTTACTTTAAAATTGGTATTAACATATAAAGAGCATTCAAATTTAGCTCCTACAGTATATCAGTTTATATGGATTTTTGTAAACATTGGCATGTACGTGTATAGAATTATTCAACATAAGTATCTATGTCTAGATTTTAAGATTTACATATTGGGTTCAAGTGGTTTTTATAAGGGAGGGGGTTTCAATTGGTTATACGATATATTTGAAAACTGAAAAAAATATCTATATGGTCATTAAAAACAAAGTGTGCAAAATTATTCTGTTTTTTTTTTGTGTGTGTTGTGAATTTTCCTGGGTAATTTACTAGTATTCTTACATTAATCATCAGTTTATATTCAAACATAAGCAAGTTTTACTTCACTACAGTTTACACAACATACATTTTGAAAATCAAACAGATACGAGTATACAGATTTTGTGAGTACAGTAGAGTTGGAGTTAAAATACTGTGCATGTGCACCCACATACCCAAGTTAATATCAAAATACTGTATTTTTATACTATTTTATAGTCAAATGTAATGGTTAAGTACAAGAAAAAATTTAAGTTTTACCACCACAAACTCATAGTATGACATCAATGGTTGCAACAATAAAAAGAAAGTAAACTAAAACATCATGAATCAGTAACAATTCCAGTTACAATATGTAAAATCCAATGAAGACCAATTTTCCAATTTCTCTAATCTATGTCACACATTGTTCTGGTCTAGCAATGAACTTTCTAACCATAATGACCTATTTGTGTGGTCTCACACAGTTGTTTTCAAGCTGGAGAAGGCAATAATCCCATAAGATGTTTCTGTGACATTCCAAAACATGTATAGCAAAGCAGATTTTTCAAAATAACTTGATCAAACCAAAATAAAAATAAAAACTGTCAGTCAATTGTTATAGAACTGACCTACAATAATTGGGCTCCACACTTTTTTTTTTTAAATCTGATGATACGGTTACATGTTTGTCAGAAACAAAATACAGCTAACTAATATCATGGTGTACTGATTGATCCTGCTGCTACAGTATGATGTTCATACTATTTTGATGTTTCATTTAAACCTTAAAAACAAAAACTTTCAAATTAGTATGGAGCATTTTATTGAAAATCCAATTCAACTGTTTTGCTTGGAACTAATGGCACAACAGCTTAAACCAAAATGTATGGACAATTATGTTACTTATTTCTAAACAAGTGATAAACCAGGACATTTACCTGTGATACCCCATGGTCCCAGCCTTTGATAACTTCCCCCTTGCCTATTTTAAACTTAAATGGTTGACCTCTGTCTCTAGAAGAGTCAAACTTATGACCATTGGAGAGAGTCCCTATAAAACAAAAGTGGACAATTTTCACTCAGTTCCTTTTTATGTTACACATACATTATTTAAAATTTCTATTTTAATATAGGATTAGCCATAAGCATTAATACAAAAACATGATGTAAATAAGTATCTACTGTTGAAAAGCCAAATATACTTTATAACAAGTGTGGAATTATATAACTCCTAATAAATGTTATAAAGTTAATAATAAAACATTTATTGATGCAACTACTTTTTTCTCACCTAGTACTTTCTTTAATTGTAGTACAGAAAATTACATAAATTGGTCCCAGAACAATGTAATTTATGTTATCATAAGCCAGGCCTTGACAAATCAGGTGCCAGGTCACCATGGCAACTAAAACTACAGTTGCCAAACAGGAAATGTGCAGGTTACCTTTAAATATATTTCTGACCAAAAAAAAAAGCTTTTGCAAAATGCACAAATGGTGAACTTCAGAAGTGGTCTCTCATATGAAACAAATGGTAATTCAAAAATTAAATAAAAAACAAAACATTATTAATATCATGTTAGAATAATTCAGTTGAAAATGTTGTGAAGACTAGCACACAGCAGTTTTTTTATTAATGTCTGTTTGTACAGAGCAGGGGGGGTTATAGGGAGTGTATATTGATCAATTAATTGAATGTAATCTATTAGTAAATACTACTAATGGCTCAGCTCTATTTACTAGCATGGCATTTGGTAATATTTATGGTTTGATTTTACACATATACTACATCTCAAAGTAACAAGTTTGCAATTAACATATAGACAAATGACATTTGGACTTTCATAAAATCATACGGGAAGCTTAATATTGTGCTCATTTTTGTTCTTTATGTGTAACACTAAAATGTGAAGTATTATGAATTTTTAATTTAAATAAATAATAGTGCTAATTTAAATTGCTTTTGTGGAACTTAATATTTACTACAGCCTAAATTATATTGTTTTAAAACTATTAAAACAGTCTTGTTAATATTTTGAATCACATCTAGAAAACCAAACAAATCTATTTGGACTTACTCTTTAACCTTACCTGTATAATGAACTACTACTGTCTGACCTGTTTTGGGGTAAGTCTGGCCTGAGTAAGATGAAATTAAAATCATTATATTTCTATTTTAGATGTGTACTACATCAATCTTAAAAGTATGGAACATTACATTTTAGTAATTAAATTAAGTTTTTTATTTGTCTTTGAGTATACTGATGAAAGTTAATAGTTGGTGATTTGAAGGAAATCTTAAATTCTTATTAAATGCCTTAATGAAGTTACTTAAAAGTTTGATTGGAGAATTTGTTTCATTATACATTTATTGTTAAATTTTAACAAGTTGAGAGTTTATGAAGCTTTATTTTCTTAGTGTTATTTTTTGATGTTATGATGTGATCTAAATTTATTATATTTTGTGTTCACAATTTCATTTTTTTTTATAATCCAAACTTAAATTGAACTACTCTTTTTGCCCAGAAAAGTCATTAATACAATTCTGATTTTCATAGCAATGCATATATCACTCAAATAATATAGGAATTCTGATAAAAATTCAACTTCACAAAAATATACCACATACATCACGTCAGTCAAACTGATTGACAAGATAGGTATTTTTACGAGTACTTTTAAAGATGTGATATGATAGCAACTTTAATAACATGTGAATTTAATCATTACAGTTTTGGGAAAGTTATAAAATCTGCATGAAAAAACAAACATACTTGAAATATTGTTAGAATATAACACAGATAGCTAGAATACAAAATCAGAAAGGTGACAATTTAAATTTTGGAAGTTCTTACAAGTAATATGTTCAGCAGTAAAAACCCTTAAAAACATCTATTCTCTTTATTAATCAACAGTACCAATACGATAACATAATCACTGTTTTAGATATATGTTTACTTTTTATATTACTTGCAATACTGTCTACTTACATATAATGTCCATGAACATCAACAATAATTACTGATGCACTTGTCTTCAAATGTCAGATTGGTTAGTTAAATAGAAGTCACAAAAACAAAAATATATTAATTTTTCTTCCTAATTTTTGAAATTATTCTTATCAACATTTTTTGGAGAAGAGAGAGACCAATAATTAAAATGGAAACAACATATGGTTTGTAACAATATGTAAACAGTGAGTGATCATGTATCATATTACTATCAGTAATATTATGACCCAATTTTGAGCAAAGAATCTCACAGAGGCAAAAACTAGTGAAAATTAATTTCTAACATATTGAAATATATCAATTCATTAAATGTTACTATGAGAAAAAAACTCCTCAATTAGGCTTTATTGAGCACTACCACATTTTTAAAAAATTACAAGCCCTTTGAGAGCCTCAGTAACATTTTAACATCTCATCTAGTTATATTTATATTTTAACTTAAGATAAGGCTCTTGAACAGGTTATTCCTATAAATGGGCCCGGCATGGCTAGGTGGCTAGGGCGCTCGAATCGCAATCTGATGGTCGTGGGTTCGAATCCCCCATCACACCAAACATGCTCGCCCTTTCAGCCATGGGGGGTGTTATAATGTGACGGTCAATCCCATTATTCGTTGGTAAAAGAGTAGCCCAAGAGTTGGCGGTGGGTGGTGACGACTAGCTGCCTTCCCTCTAGTCTTACACTGCTATATTAGGGACGGCTAGTGCAGATAGCCCTCGTGTAGCTTTGCGCAAAATTAAAAACAAACAATTCCTATAAATACTGTCGAATCTACATCTCCACCTAACATTCCCCTTTTGTTTTGTCAATTTCCTAAAGCACTGACTTGTCTCCTCCAATCATTATCATACAAAAATGTTTGTTTTAACTCTTTACATTTACATGAAGGACTATGACATGCTTTTATACCAAACAATAAGTGTTAAATTAATTTTCTTTTGTAAAACACCTTCATAAAGTGGCTAGTGTATATGTTACTGTTAGAGCCAGCCATATGGAAATTGCAGTATGTAATTTCAAAATATAATTAATTCTACACTAATTTTCTGGTGTAAAAATATGACATAGCCTTTCATTTAAGTATAAATGGTTAAAACAAATATATTTTGTTTAAGATGTTAGGGTATAATTTGAATTATTGATGTTACAAGTCAGTAATATAGGGAATCAATGAAAAATAACATGGTGAATAGAATGAGAGGGACATACATCTTTTAGTGGTCATACTGGAAGGTTCAGGTAAGAAACATTTAGAATACCGAACTAGCAATTCAGGTCCTGAATTTTGCCATTTTAGACTACACGTAGAAACTACTCACTGCAAGTATAAAACCTTAGTGGGATTTTAGCACTAACTTTTAATGCACACCAATTTAAGTTTAAAACTTTTAAAATTAAATTGAGATTATGCTAAACAATTGTTAATGTCTGCAGAATCTAGTTATGTACAGCTACTGAGCTAGAAACTAATATTTGCACCTTCCTACCAACGCCCAATTTTTCTCTAATCTAACTTCTGCGTCCAAGCCTTGTTTTACTTCTATTTCTCAAGTTTCTGAAAATAACGTAACCTTTTTAGGCGTATCGAATATACGACATTAAAGAGTACATAAAACCCTTTACATATTCGTATTTTTTAACTATTTACATTGTACAAAGTTGTATTTTCGTTACACGGGAAGTCTGTAAAAACGGCAATAGTTTATATGAACATATTTCTAACGAACTATTTATAACTTTTAAAGTTCTACATATTTTAATCTTAGTTAACTATGCAGTTGCCTTCAAACTTTAACACAAACATTGACAATGTTAATGATATTGTTAGGCCTAATTTTATCTTCAATAAATAAAATATAATTTGTACTAAGTTACTAAGGTTTTACTTTTAGTTAACCTGTACATTGAAAAAGTTCACTTTAAGTTTAATTTACTGTTTAGAAATAAAATATTTTGCATTAATATAACTTATCACCGTATCAGTGAAATTTAAAATCATACCATCGCCTGGTCTGATTGTTTCAATTTCTACTCCCATCTTGTATCGTAGATACCCAAACTTAACGAAGAGAAATCTGCAAATCTTTAACCTCCTCAAACGAGCAAACACAACAAACCCTCTTTTTTTTTCTTTTTTTTTACACCAACTAACATATAATAAATTCCCTTTTAGTACGCATGCGTAAAAATAGTCGGTATGATATCACAAGTCGGAGAGGTATTTACTTCTGGACTTAATGGATGATGTGAGTCAATGTTTAATCTTTATATATAAAAATTATGTTTTTAGTTTAAAAAATAACAGAAAATCATAATCCTTTGTAATGTGCGTAGAATACATTTTACTTTTCCCAATCAAAGTATTTGAACATATCTGAAGTACAGTTATGGCGGACGATGACAAAAATTACTACATTTTAAGCATATGTTTGTCTGTTATAAACAACGTTACTAAAACATATTGAAATATTTACAGCAATACTTTCCCAGAAAATCGATAAATATATATATATATATATATA